CACACAGAGATTCTGAAACTTCTGGAGCTTTACTCTGTGAGTTCCCGGGGTATGAGGTTGAGGCTGTCCATTGGGAACATGCACGCTCGTGCCTTGGTTTCACTCCATGTTCTTCTGACTGCTGACTCTGTTGGGAGGGTGCACTGCCTTCCCACAGAGGCTTCTGTGAGTTTCACGTGGCCAGGGAGCGGGTGGCCTCTGGGCTGCTTCTGGAGGAAGTCCAGTGCCTCCTACAGTTTCCATCCTCCAGCCAGAGTCTGGAGCAGAAAGTGCTGCAGACCTCTGGGGCAGTCTTACTGGTTGATGGACTTGAGACAAGCACCTAAGAATAAGTGACAGATGCCCTTAATTTAACAGGGGCTTTTAGTTCCGTTACTGTAGCTGATTACTTTGTTGGTTTTTAAAACATTTGTTTCCATCTCCTTAAGTGATAATCTTTGGCTTCAATGGAGATAAACTGGCAGCCCCAAGAGCTTGGTGATGTCCAGCCCAGGAGTCTGTGTGTATTTTGCAGCTCTGTGTAGCATCTTTCCCAGTCTCGCTCTCTGCACTGTGGCCTCCAGAGGCTGTGAAGCTCCAGCATGGTATAGATGGTATTCATAGGACCTTCCGCACTGACCACAGGTAGCTGAGCTGACTGCCTCCCCTTGTCTCCCTCTGGAGAGCCCTGTGTGCAGGTCATGGTTTGCTGATGTTCTGCTCTATACACAGCAGTGAAGCAGACGTTTCCTTTGGGCTTCAGGCTGTGTTTCCATGCGGCACTTGACAGCACAGACCTTGCCTTATTTTGTAAATGGGCTCTTGGCATTCTTTCATCTGTGTTGGAAGCACCCAAGAACTAGCAGTCACTGTTTGGGAAGTGCCAGAAAAGATGGGGCTGTCTGTACTACGGAAACTGCTGTCGCAAGTGGGGGCTGCTGTCAGCTAAGTGGGACAGGCTGACAGTCAGGATGAAGTCAGAGGTAGACCTTGAGTACGGTGGAAGAAGTGTTGGCTCTTGTGTAGATGGTTTCAGACACAGCAGCCCAGCATGGAATAAGGTGGCTGTTGTTGCTGGAGCAAACATGGAGAAGGTTAAGTAAGAGAATGTGGACAGAGCCAGCAACCATGCTGAGGGTGTGACAGTGGGAGTAGATGAAGTAGAAGAGGCAGGACAGCAGTACTAACTATTAGGGATAGCTCAGGCTCTCTGCTATGGGCTGGAGGAAATGGTCTGTGTCTAGGTAAGATGGAGGTTAAGGTAGGGTTTCCCGATGCTGACTGTGCAGAATGAGTGTGAAAACAGGCAGGAGGGCTCCAAGACTTTATGACTGGAAGCTTGGGAGCCTTGGCAGTATTAATGCACATGACTCCGTGGCCCTGATGGAGAGCATTGCTCAGGACAGTGAGGGGCTGAGTCTGTGAACTTGGAGGCAGGGTGTGGAGTCGATGCTTAAGATCACTGGCCTGGACCACACACTCAGAGAGTGGGAATAAAGGGCAGATCTGAGCCTCCGTCATGGCATGGCAAGTTCATCCTGGAGACAAGCGACACACGTGTTCCCTGCTGGAGCCAGGAAGCAGTGCTCAATGTGAGGACCAGAGCTTCTCCAGGAGAACCAACTGCTCAAAAAAGCAACTCGCATTGTGGGAGAACCCACAATGCCTCAACTCCTCAATACAATAGCGTCTCCTTCTCCACATCTCTATTTAAGCTGGCAACTTTCCTCAGGTGAAACATCTACACTCAATACCATGGTGATTTAATTCCACTGGTGTTGACTACCAGTTTTTACTATATAATAGATGATTTATCATTTTCTGCATTCGTTGGTAATGTTTTATTAACTTTTTGTCATATGTTGCACATACATGTCAGGTTTTCCTTTTCTTTGTAATTTTTACATAGAAGAGCTATTTTCTGACTTCAGATGCTTTCATCTTTTTTCATTATTATTTTTCTTTATCATCATATGTTCAAAATAATTCTTTACTCCCAAACTGCTTATTTACCTAAATACTGTTTTTTATATTAAAGAGAATAAAACAAAACAAAACAGATCAGAACAAAACAATACAAGCAACACAGGACTTCAAAATAAGACAACAAAAAATCAGCAGTGTCTACCATATTGTCTCTTGTTTTCTTTGAAACAGTTGTCCCAAATACTGTTTTGATGCTTAACATTCATTAACCATTTTATGTATTGTATTGATACAAGGTAAGAATCTAATTTTAGGTGTTTGTCTAGCTGATCTGACACTACATTTACCCTAGACCAAGCTATTCATGTCCCCTTATATCTTTTTTTGGTGCCAGGGATCAAACTCACAACCTCACGTGTGCAAGCAAGCACTTACACTACTGAGCTAAACCCTCGGCCCTGTCTCCTTATATTTAACACGATAGCATAGTCCCTGAAGTCTCTGGCTGTAGTTTTATTTTCTGGCCATAGGTGAGCTGCCAGGACTAGGATCTGTGGTTTGAGTTTCCATACAGTACTGGTGTGAAGTGCAGAGTATGGGGTAGTTCAGTACCTTAGCTCTCAGTATGGATGAGCTTGTTGTAGTTATCCTGGATATCTTTTGTCATCAAACGTTGAGCACAACAGTAGTGTCTGTGATGTGTATGATTGTGAAGATCAAGAAGGCCTGCCCATAGTGGTCCAACCTAGACCAGGCACAGCAAGTGCCTAAGAAATGCCAGCTGTTGCTTCCATTTGCGTCTCTGTGCTCTGAGAACTTGTCAGATGAAGTACTGGTGTGATTTGTCCCTTACTTCTAATTCTCAACAGACAAGCAGCACACTCTAAGAGTTTGGCCCACTGTCTCCAAAGCAAGGTGATACCAGCCAGAGTTGCTGCTGTCACAGCACAAGCCTATGTGTACAGGATTCACAAAGACTCCCACCCCTGCATTTTTCTCGATGTCAGGACCATAGCGCTGCTGTTTCCAGACATGGCCTATGGCATATAGTGAGGCATCGGGGACTGTGGTTTCTGGCTCTCCTGGTGTCTCACTCGAGGTAGAAATAAAACTGCTGACACTTTGGCGGCTGCCAGACTTAGAATTAAGATGTCTTTCTCCTAGTGCATTCCATCTGACATTTGCTAAAACCCATAAAAAGTAATTGGCTTTAAAAATGGTATGTAGGGATAGGGATTGGCTGGCAAGAACATTTGAGTGAAGGCATGGGGGAGAGATAGAAGTTACCTGTTTTTTCCCTCAGGGAAGAAAGGGGGATATAACACCTTTATTTTCTTGGGGAATGGAAATGTACAGTTGGGTAGTTAAATTTGAACACGATTAGCATGACACAAAAAAAGAGAGGGGCATTTAACAAGAAAATTCCCTAGAGGGGAAGATTAAAGAGAACAGGTGCTAGAAAAATGTTTCTGCATATTAGAGCTTAATTAGATTTGAAGATGAATTCCAGATGGGCTAATTATGTGTGAGTTGTTGCAGGTTATTTCTTGTAGGGGCAAGCATGTATTTTTGGAAATGGTGATTTAGTTTGATTGGCTTGATTCCTGCCTCCTATTTTATCTCCTTCATCAAGAAATCACCTCCTCTAAGGCCATGGCACCCTACTCGGCAGTTCCAATCTTTGGGACCTTTGTTGCAGCTGGCAGAGCCATAGGCTGTCCTGACTGCGTGGCTACCTGTATGGCAAAGGACAGGTGACCCTTACCATGTGGGACAGAGAGTTGTTTCAGTGTCAGGAGAGGCAAGCAATGGAACTGTGCCTGCAAGGACATGGCATTTGCCACAGAGGGCACAGGAAAGCGGAACCTAAGCAAGAGTTTCTGTCTACCTGGCTAGTTAAGTATATGTGGACCGTTTCCTTTGTGGGGTAAGGGCCGGTCTCATCATGGTACTTCACGTGTCACATAGAGACAAGGAGGAGACTGGTAAACAGAGACATATTTGAGACCTGAAATTTAAAACAAGGAACAGGACTATTTGGACTCATTGATGTTCCACTGGCGTGACAGTAGCGTGACAGTTGTCTGAGAGGTTAGCACAGCTCTCTGCCCAGATGATGTGGATGTGCTGGCAACCAGTTCAGGTCTGGGAGGTTCAGTGAATGTCAACTTTTATGTAAGGGCCTGTAATTGGAAATTATGGATGTATAATTTATATATGGCTCAATGATTTATATAATGTTAAGTGATGATTTAGATAGGAAATATAGCCCTTCCTGTAGAATCTTTAATGAATGGTGTTGGTTCTGATGAATTTATTTCTAGGGCACTGTTGGAACTCAGCATGTTTGACATAAATCAGATCTAATTGTCATTTTATGATTAATGAACATATGCTGGCCGTTTCTCCCCGTAATTAAACTTTATGTTCTGTGCATCTGACAAAGCAAAACAAGTTTAGACTTTGACAGATTGGCGAAGGGGTTCCCACGCCTGTGTGTTTGTGTGTGCACTCGCTCGTCTGTGCACGCCTTTGTCAGTGCATAGCACTAACTTCCTGTAACCAAGTCAGCAGAGGCTTCCATGATGTTCCTAAGGTTAGTAGTCGGACTGTGAGACTTGGAGTGGCTTCAGAGGTGGGCAGGCACAGGTCCAGCTGGAGTGGGGAGCGTGGCTCAGCGGCTGAGCTGAAGCACCTACCTCTGTGGAGGCTCTCAGTGGCCTGATTACACTGCTGTTCTGCCCTACAGAGCTCTAAGCTATAAGAATGATGCCAGATGGATTGGTTGCAAAAGTATACATTTTCCTTTTTGCTTTTTATGCACTTCAACAAGGATTTTAATATAAAAGGTGAGATGTTGCCAGGCGTGGTGGTGCATGCCTGTGATCCCAGCACTCGGGAGGCTGAGGCAGAAGAATCTCCACCAGTTGGAGGTCAGCCCGGACGACATAGTGAGTCAGGGATAGCCTGAACTGCATTACAGGACCTTGTTGTAAATAAGTGAAATAAAAAAGTAAGAAGTGAGATGTTTGTGGAAGGAACATTATGTCACTGGTCATCTTCACTCAGTGGCCATTCACCTTTGATTATTTCAGGATATAGACAAGTTCGGCAACGAGATCACACAGCTGGCCCGGCCCCTGCCAGTGGAGTATCTGATCATAGATGTAAGTGCTTCCCACACTCGCCCTGCACAAGCTGCCCTAGGTGCTTTGGAAGTCCAAGCCTCTGAGTGGAGGTCATTCCCAAGGAAGCCAGTGATCCTGGAGCTACACCTTCGGCCCCATGTGGGGCGGGAGATGTGTATGGCAGCGTTGAGACCCCAGTGGAACATTCATGGTTCTTTGGGGTTTTGTTTTGCTTTTTCTACCCTTCTCTCTCTTTGAGAAACTTTATTTGTTTGTTTTAAAGACAACAAAACAAAATCTCAAATCAAGATGATTAGAGGATAACAATGGTTAATACATTGCATTATCTTTAAATTAGCTACTCAGAGTACAAGATATCTGCATTTAATTGTCCAAACAATGTTAGCATAAAACTTTGTTTTCAATGAACTAAGAGATACTAGCAATTTAACTATTTTAATTATCTTTTATATACATAATTATTTCTTTTAGCTTCTCACACCAAGGAGATGCAGTATTTACACATATGCATCTGGTTTATTTCACTTGTGAGTTTGGTCTGTAGTTACATCTGTTTACCTATAAAAGTTTCAAATTTATCCTTCTTTATGGCTGAATAGTACTCTATTGTATAAAAATACCAAATCTTTTTTATCTTTTCTTTGGTTGATGAGCTTTTAGATTGTTTAAGAAATTGATTTATGTATGTATTTATTTATTTATTTATTCATTTTCTCCAATCTGATTTTTGTGGGGGTGTACGGGGATTAAACTCATAGCCTCAAGTCACAACCTCACACTTGCCAGGCAGGCACTTGCATCTCTGAGCTAAATCCTCAGTCTGTTGGTACATTTTAAATATTAATAATGATCACATTCATCATAGAGATTCTGTACCTATATATGATATAATTTGATTCTCATGTTTTCCATTCCCCTCTCCTCCCTTCCACTTCTCCTCCCCTCCCCATTTACAAAAACCTTGTTGCTATTTTTTTCATTTTTCTGGTGTTTTTTTTTTTTCCCTTTTCCTTTCTTTTCACCACCCCCACCTTCCTTTTCACCACCCCCACCTTCCTTGTTCCCCTTCCAGTTTGAGCATTTTCTTCCTATTTCACAATACCTATTACTCATTTCTTTTAGTTTCAGGTTTTTCTATCCTTGAAAACAACTTAGGGATTAGATTTCCCCATATCGAAGTACAGAGGACTCTGCCTGTGTGACCCAGGGGTCTCTGAAGGCGGCAAGCGTGGGTTGCTTGGGGACTGAGTCCTGAGGGTGTGCCAGAGACTTGCCACACACTCTGGGCTTGGGTAAGGCTGCATGCTCCCGGCCATGCATAGATGCTGCACAGCCAGACCACAGCTGCGATACCAGAGTGTGTCTGTGACTTGGTGTCATTTAAAGTGAGGATTGACGTGGTTTCTTGGGTGGAGCTCCAGGGGCCAATACAAGTGACTCTGCTGCTGTATTTCCCCATATCTCTTCTCCTTGCTGGGGGCATCTCATGGTCACAAAGATGTGACCAAGCAATTGGCCACAGGGCAGTAGGTGCCACAGGATAAAACCTGGTATCACTGCTTGTATAAGTTCTGTCCACAGAAGCATAAGTGGCTAATTTCCTATGCTACTGTTGTGCTGGGATCCATTCAGGCTACATTTCAGCTCAGGACAGGCATGGATTCAGGCTGTAAAATATCATTGCTTTTGGAGCAGTGAATCCCTTGAGCCAAGCCCATTGATGCTCTATTCCAATTGACAGCTCCTGAGAATGTATTTATTGCCTAGGCTATAAAGGCATCTGTTTTTTAGACTACCTAGGGTGTAATTAAGATGAAAACAGATTGATGGACCACACACTTAGGAGGTGTCTACATGATTTAGCTGCTTCCTCACCCCCTTCCTTCTGTGGGAAGTGCAGTTCTTGCTGCAGTGTGCCCTTTAGCTGTGCTTAGCTGCTGGGAGAGGATTCTGCCCTGGGACCCCAAGTTCTCTATCCCTTTAGAAGTAAGATGCGGGGGGTTCCTTGAGAGCAGTTACCCACAGAAATGGATTTGGCTCCTTGCCTATCCCCAGAGGGCCTGGGTATAGGCCTGGGCCAGGTCCAGCTGCTGTGCTGCTGCTGGGGGGTGGGGTGGGATATATGATAAAACCCAGACCCTTGTGTTTGCTAGGCAAGTGCTCTACTACTGAACTATATTCCCAGCCCTTTTGTAAATTTTAATTTTGAGACATGATTTTGCTGACTTGCACAGGCTGGCCTTAAATTTGTGACCCTGCTGCCTCAGCTGAAATTACAAGTGGCTGCTGCTCTTGAAACTAAGGCTAAGGGCAGCTGTTTCAGGCAGGGAAAGTACAAACCAGTGTTTCCTGGGCTTCTATGGTGGTATTGGAGCACTGTCTTAATTCTTGACTCCAAGACGGACAAGGTAGGGAGAGGGCTTAGGTACAAGACAAAGGAGTTGGACCCTTGAGGTAGTCACTGAGGCCCTGTGGACTTTGATTCTGGCACTCCCTGGGAGCCCCTGGAAGGACTAGCATTTAAATGTCTCGCCTCGTTGGCTAGTTTGCTTGCTGTTGTATGTTCTTCAGTTGCCCCACCACTCCTGCTCCCGTCTTCCCCAAAGGAAAGCCCAGGTAGTCCCAGGATTTTGTCTCTGTAGTATGGACACACAGCACACACACTCCTATCTTTACAGCCACAACTATAACCAGGACTGAGTGCCCTGCATGCCAGCCCTGCACTGGGCACCTCCCTGTAAGAGCCACTCCTGTCACCTGGGTCTCCCAGGTGAGCAGATGAGGCCAAACAGCCAGCACTTGTCACTCTGGCCCAAGTCCTCCCTGTGGCCCTGCTGCTGCACAGGCTGCATGTGAAGGACCACCTGGCCTCCTTCAGTTCATCTTTCCAGAGCGCTGACACTGGCATGCTGACTGCAGAAACAACTCGCTACCTTTGCTGATGCAGAAAACAGACCAGAGCAATGTCTCATTCTTTAGAAGTAGTCCCTTAGGAGCCACAGTGGTACCCTAAATCTGAAAGGGGTCTGACCTGCCCTGCTAGTGTCACTTGCAGAGGAAAGCTGCGTTAGCCACAGGTGGTTGATAACTCATACTTGGGCACTTTTGTGGGCTGGGGCATCTGCTGAGAGGAATAAAATCTGTGTCTGTATTGATTTCTTCACATTCACCACTGTCCTTGTAGCTTCTATTGATTATGTGTTAGGTCTGAAGTGCCCTCTACTGTTCCTAAACCATAACCATGTTGGAGCCAAACAAAGGATTTGGCTACCTTTGATGGAAGCTCCCAACTCCAGGTCACCCTTCTTTGAGGGAGAAGGAGGCCTGCAGTTCTTATCCTGGGCTGCAAAACCTGTGCACGGCCTCTGCAAGCAGCTTTCCAGCAGCCTGTTGGAATCGCTCTGCCTGGCAGCTGACTCCACACAAACTTCCCAGCCCAGGGATGTGAACTCTGACCTCCTCCCTGCTCCATTCCCTTCCAGTAGTGCTGTTGGCTTGGCCAGGGACAAGGCAGCCCTCTGCTGCCTGTGGCAAAGTGTAACGGTCTAAGACTCCAACGTTCCCATCATGCAGCCGGAGGCTGCAGGGGCTGTGCATAGTGCTAGGAGCTGCCCAGATGTGTGTGCTGTGACAACTAGATTCTTCAGCTTGTTTCCCGTTCTCACAGCTTCAGATGTTCCATTTGGGGACAACAGTAATAGTTAAGTGATCCTTTCATTATGGAGCTTGTAGAACTCTGAGAATCCCTGTGTGTGTAACCCTGTAGTATTTGCCAGGGCTACTTGGGTGAACTTGAATATATCCACACTGTTTTCGCAAAGTTTATCTTGATTGTGTTTTTCTTCATTAGATCACAACAACCTTCCCCAAGGATCCAGTTTATACTTTTTCTATTTCGCAAAATCCATTTCCTATTGAAAACCGGGATGTACTGGGTGAGACACAGGTAAGCTCTTCAATCTTGTTTTCCCAGAAATTGCCACATTTCAAAACTCGCATCATTTTTCTTGCAGCAAGCCCCATGAGACCCTTTTTGGGAGCACTGTCGATCACCTGGGTATCTCTCCTGTCTAGGTGGATAGATGACTGCAGTATAAGTTCTTGGCCTACAGTCTTGCCTAAAGTATCATTCTCAGTTGACTGCTTATTTTTTCTAAAATTTATTATTAGTCACTTTGTATCTTCTACCAACAATCTTTCCATGGTTGGTTTGTTAATAGATGTATATTCTGTGGAGTTGAGCAGTGGAGACTGTCTCACTTCCTTGTTGCTGTGCCCCCCTCCCCCCACTGCATTCCGTGGCTGCTCCACCTCCACCAGGGCTAGGGGCCTCACTATAGCGTGATGTGGTACCAGAGGGCTCGTGGCTTAGCTGTTCTCACCAGCAGGTCAGGCCTAGCTGGGGTTGCCGTTACTGCCTGAGCACATAGGCAGTCTGGGTTCCACCTCCTCCTAGATGACAGCTTCGCTTAACTGAGGAATTCCTGTGAATAAGGTTTTCTTCTGGTGTGGTTTATTGGTAAAGCCTCTTTGGTACTCCCAATTCCTTACTCCTGTCTTCCAGGGGACCTGGGGTGCTTGTCAGAAGGAAAGGGAGCCCTTTTGAGGCTCTCATGTTTAATGCTGTTGGGACATACACAGAGCCATGACTGCCTTGCCTGTTCCACCTCCTCACTCTGTGCTGCCCTAGCTTAGGCCGGCGGCCGGATGAGAAAGCGCAGATGAGTCTCCTCCCTGCACTGTAGTGGTCCCTTTCCTCACCCACTCCACTTACAAGGGAAGGGGCGTTCTGTATCTATGTCATGCTGGGTGAGCTTCTATACCTGCTTCCTCACAGGCCTTGGTCCTTCCATGCCTTGTTAGGCAGATAAGTATTAAGCATTTCCCCTGCCCCTACCTCGTGCTGTTTGTGCTCTTGGACTCTCTCAGTGGTCACAGAAGAGAGGGTGAGATGGCCCATAGCACTATGTGTTGTCTTAGTACCTGGCAGTTCTCCTTAGGGTCTGGCTCTGGAAGTGGTAACCCAGTATCCATGTGTCTTCTCTCCTGCCCCTTTGTTTCCAGGACTTTCACAGTTTGGCTACCTATTTGTCCCAGAATACCTCATCTGTGTTCTTGGATACCATCTCAGATTTCCACCTCTTGCTGTTTCTGGTCACCAACGAAGTTATGCCTCTACAGGTAGGATCCAGACTGGGAGAGATGCCCCCTGACTTACTTTGTTTTCTCAAACCAGAGTGCAGCGGGAGGCAGATGGAACCTTGTGTCAAGAGTCATCTTCCTTTGGCTATGTGGGTGTGTGTGGGCTGCTGTTTTTCAGAGGGGCCTGTGATAGAGAGATGATTGTTGTCAGCATGGCCTCCATGGCAAAGGACCATCTTGTTGGTTATAATCTCCTAGAAGATGAAGGAGTTGGGAGAATAGGGTTCCACAGTGTACACAGTCACTACCCTGACAGCTTCAAGCTCTGTACTGACACCTCTCCTCCTCCCAAATTAGTGCTGCTGATCGCCTCAGCCTAGAGGCCCAGCCAGCTTCCAGGCCCACATGTGCAGCTGCGCAGTTGGCATTCAAGAGACACCGTAGTGGCAGGAGAGGGCCAGTGCTTTGTGGACGGTGGGTACTGTTTGAGCTGGTCAGGGCACCAGGGCATCAGGCCCTTCCAGAAGGCTTCTGCACATGCCATGGCATGGACGTCCTCCTGTGGCCTGTTCTTCTCTGCCTGAGCCTCACAGAAGCACCAGAGACAGACGGAGGCCTCTTTCGGAACCTGATAGCACTGACTCATCACCTTGCCCAAAGAGGACAGAGTGGAGCCTTAGGGCTTTTTTGTGCTACAGTCTGTAGCTATTCTTCCATCACCTGGGTTTGCTTTATTTATTTATGAGGCAAGATCATGCTGTGTAGTCCAGGCTGACCTTGAACTCCCAGTGATCCTCCTGCCATGACCTCCCTAGGACTGGAATTACAGATGTGCACCACCATACACCCAGTTGCTGGATATATTTTGTCACCAAACCACTCACCCTGATACTGAACACAGTATTCTGTGGCTATTGCTGCCCTCTGTGCCTCCCTCATTTACCCCAGGAAACCTAGCGCATGTCAGCCCTGCCACCAGGGTTAGGAATGACATGTGAGGCTCCCTCTGGGTCAGAGCAAAAGCACTTGGTGGAGCCGGCTTGTAGTCCTAGTAGGCAGCAGGATCACAAATTCAGGCCAGTCTGGGCAGCTTAGCCATGTAGGAGACCCTGTCTCAAAATGGGAAATAGCTGAGCAAAGCACATGGGTTCAGTTCCCATTACTAAAACAGGAAAGAAGATATTTATCAGAGGACTGAGAGCTTCATCAGTCCCTCAAGGCCAAGGATGTGGAGTGTGGTTTCCAGTCACAATTGAGAAGAAAAAGAGGCAGAGGGCAAAGTGTGAGGGAGAGGACAGCTGTTACAGTCTGGCCTTCCATCTCTCTGTCCCTCTAGGACCAAGGATGTGACCTTTTGACCTCTAGGCTGTTGGGCCACTCTCAGCCCCAACAGAGAGTAGCAGATGGCCGCTTCTGGCACTTTGGGAAGGATTTAAATTTTAGCTCACTCTAATATATTTATTTATAGACCCAAATTGGACATTTTGTGTTAGACATGACAGCCTATTTGGGTGTTTTGTTTTATTTTAGAAGGGGTTTTGCTATGTAGTCCAGGCTGGCCTTAAACTCATTATATAGCCTAGGCTGGCCTCAAATTTGTGGCATTCCTCTTGCCTCAGCCTCTTTAAGTGCTGGGGTTACAAGTATACATAAGTATGCCCAGGAATCTGTTCAGTTTTTAAAATTTCCTCTGAAATATGCCTTGACATTGAAGAAGAGCTTGTTAAGAGCAGAGCAAGATGGAACATTTTTTGGCATTTTGCAGGACAGCATCAGCCTGCTTCTGGAGGCAGTGAGGACCAGAAATGAGGAGCTAGCACAGACATGGAAGAAGTCTGAGCAGTGGGCCACGATCGAGCAGCTCTGCAGTAAGTGTCCCCCACCAAGAGCTACCGCTGAAGCCCCTTATATCTGGAATTCTGGCCGTGTGCATACTGTGGAGCCAGGGATGAGGAGAAGACATACAATATCTCCCTGCAGGGCACATGCCCTGCTCACTGGCAGAGCATTCACGCTGTCCAGGCCACAGGGCATAGGCACGCTTGGCTCTGTGAGTTGAATGTAGATGATTGCGCCAGATTGCATCATCACTTCCCTGGGGGCCTCGTCTGAAGAGGGTCTATTTGCATTCACCATCCCTAGGGGTGAGACACTTGGCACTGGCCCCATACTTTAATGGTATAAAAACTCAATCCCATGGCCCCAGGTAATGGAATCTGGGCCCGTTACATGCAGCAGCTTGTGCCTGAGAGCTCCTTGTATTCATTGATGCACTCTGTGCTGAAGCATTAGCATGAGTCTAGATGAGTGCTGCCCACAGCAGTTCACAAGACCCTCAGCACCAGGAGCATTCGCAGCCCAGGTTGGAGCTCTGTTTGGTAAGCTAGTATGTTCCCGGAAGAGCAAGGGAATGGGCTGAAAGAGACAATGTATGTTGTTTTGTTTTGTTTTGTTCTGTTTGAGATCAAGTCTTACTGTGCAGTTCAAGCTGGCTTTGAGCTTACTTTGTAGTCCAGGCTGGTCTGAAACTTTCAACAATCCTCCTGCCTCAGTCTCCTGAGTGCTGGGATTGCCACCATGGCATGTGCCACCATGCCAGGCTTAGGCAGTCTATCTTCAAGGTGTCAGTTTCCCTGCTTTTAATGTTTTGAGACCAGGTCTCCCTTCCTCGGCTTCCCAGAGTGTTATAATTGGTGTGTACCACGATACCAAACCTTTTGTTTTCATTTCTGCTTTCAAAAAAATCACTTAAGTCCTAAGAATCATTTAGAGGCAGAGGACCTACAATAATGCGGACAATCTCTTTTAAAACTGGAAATTGGGGCTGGGGATTTAGCTCCGGCATAAGCGCCTGCCTTGCAAGTGTGTGATCGTGAGTTCGATCCCCAGTACCGATAAAAAAGAAAAAGACTAAATAAATAAATAAATAAAACCGGAAACTGAACTCAGGACCTCATGCTTGCAAGGCAGGTGCTGTGCCACTGAGCTATATCCTCAACCCAGTGAAGACAGGCATAAGAGATGACAGGAGCTAAAGACCTTGCCCTGCTGAACTCAGAGCCTATAGCGGAGCTGCCAGCTACCATAATTTCTTTTTTTTTTTTTTTTTTGTCTTTTTCATTTTTATCGGTACCGGGGATCGAACTCATGACCGCCTGCTTGCAAGGCAGGTGCTTATACCGCTGAGCTAAACCCCCAGCCCCCAGCTACCATAATTTCTTAAAGACCTTGGCGTGCTTTATCCTCTGATCCAGCAGTCCTGCCACTGGAGCTGGCTCTCACCTGGAGCTGTAAAGATGTGGCCCCACAAAAGGCTTACTAGACAGTGCTCCCGGCAGCTTTGTCCTAACAGCCTAAAGACCCCATCCAGAGCAGGGTTATGACTCAGCCAAAGGAGCAGTGCGGGCAGGGGTGGTGCACTGCTGGGGGCCATCATGGTCGATCCAGACAGCATATTTGGTGTGAGCATTGGGGACTCCTGTTCTGCCTCTGCCCATTCCACTGTGCTCTCAGGCAAGTGTCTTCTGCAGAAGTGATGAGAACTCGCTTCTCTTCCCCTCCTATAGGCACCGTTGGCGTGCAGCTTCCAGGCCTCCACGAATATGGCGCTGTCGGAGGCTCCACACATGCTGCTGCTGCCGCCATGTGGGCCTGCCAGCACTGCACCTTCATGAACCAGCCAGGCACAGGTCACTGCGAGATGTGCAGCCTTCCCAGGACCTAGGGCTCCAGCCCTCTGCTGGGTGGACTGGGCTAGCCCAGCCTTCTGAAGCCAGGAGTGCGATGTGTCCCCTGCACGGCCAAAGCCAGCAGACCTGCAGGGGCAGGACCAGCTGCCCTGGTGTTGGACCCACCAAAGTTTCTCAGCTCCGATCCTGGAGAGGTAGCTCTGGCAGGTGTACTGGGCCTGAATACAGTCAGCCTACCAACTGGAATCACCGAGCAGCGCTGCCCAGGAAAACCCCACACGCCTTGCACAGTGCACAACCCCACCACGGTGGAAGAACTGGCACCTCCACATTGTCACCTGGGGTGGGGGTGCAGGGAGGGGCGGCTGCTGCCACCAGCTTTCCTTTCCTCTCTTTTCAGTGCTTTTTGTTTTTCATCCCCACCCTGTATGTTTGGTTGGGAGCTCTTAGCTGCCTCTGTTCTGTTCCTCTGGGGTAGCAGCCCCTGTCCAACAGGGCCATGTCCTTCCCATGTGAGTGGCTGCCATCTGGTGGGAACACATGTGACCAGGCCATAGCCTTCTCATTTTGACCTGCAGGTTAGTGGGCTGCCTTCCCTTTTCTCATCTAGCAACCAGGTGGAATTTTAAAGTCTGCCTTGGTTGTGATAATAGTTACCAGTAATTCGTGCCCCACAAGACTTTTATTTATTGTTTTAAAATAAAACTACACAAAAGGCGAGAGACAGACACTAGGCTAGTGTTGTCTTCTCCCTTCTTTAGTACAGCCCTTCTGGGTGTTCAGGGTGGTGAGTAGACAGGGGCACTGTCAGTTCGCCTCACAAACCTCAGTGCCTGAGACTTTTCTACCAAGCCACACAGCTGTGGCAGCTGTGTGATGTGGGTGGCTGAGTAAGAGTAGAGTGGCAGCCCTCAACCGGCAGGCAACCCTTCCAGACAGCTGTGAAGGGTGGGCACTGGAGCCCTGGTCCTCTTCCCAACACTGCTCCTCTCCCCATGGCCGCTTTGCGCTGTGACCATTGAAATGGGCCTGAAGAGAGGGCCTTGTGAAGCCTCTGGGACTTTGGCGGTAGATACTGTGTGAGGTCCAGAAATCCAGAACAGGTCCCAGTGGTTATAAAAGTGCCATGTGACTGGTTTGGCCCTTTCCCAGGCGAGTTGTGAGCATTTTAATGCCTCTTTACCTTAATGAGAGCCAAATCAGCTATGCTGGCCCTGGAAAAGGCCAGCATAGTAGTAGACAGTTGGGAAACTGTCACCGTGGAGTAGCAAGCCCGTGAAGTACCCCCTAGTCCTTGGACCTGTGGACAGACAAACCTGGCCTCCTTGCCATGGGACCTTATGACGGCCAATATTTCATTTGCTCCTGGGGCTGTGGGCCTATTGTATTAGGTCAGGCCACGGCTGTTGGGGAGGTCAAAGGAGGAGGAAAGTAGTCAGGTGAGTAGTCTGTCTGCCAGCGTACTATGGAGCTCATGCCGAAGCAGGTTGGCCGGCCTGCCTCCTGGCAGCTGCCTTGACTGGGGGACTTTGTCCTGTCTCACCTGAGCCCTAAGGGCAGCTGTGAGACGATGCTGTGCTGATTCTCACCTGTTTCCAAGGCCATTTATGCCAGCACTGCTGCCCATCCTGGGCAGGCAATGGACAGTACAGACTTCTAGAGACCTTGCTGCCACCGCTGCCATTATCTCCTGTCCCACTCACTCTTGTTTTTATCCACCAAGCTCATTTCTTTTCCTCCTCAACCAATATTTTTCTTGCTCTGAAGTTCTGGCATTCACATAGTTGTTTTCCTTTGTCTTTTAGCTAAAGAAAAAAATGTTGTGATTTCTCTGCTTACGGTTTTTTTGAGTTACTCTTTGTTCAGTAATGCACTTTATTTTGTTGTCCAAAGAGAGTCAATCTAATGCTACCAGCTGGGCCGAGCCCTGCCTAGGGTTAGGCCTGGCTGGTCACACCTTACATGGGAGTGACTCCAGCCCCACCTCACATCCCCTGTGGATACCCCACTCATGTCAGCAGGTACCATAGCCCAGAGAGGAGTGCCAGGGTGCATGTCTGTCTAGGTAAACACAGCAGCTGCTGAGGTCTCATCCTGGCCCAAAGGTGCAGTCTGGCCCCGCTCACCCAGCCCACCTCCAACAGTCTGCTCCCGGGACATAGGTGCTCTGCTTCAGCTTGCTTTGGGCTCACAGGTGTGTGTTGGCTGGATTTGGACTAGCATTACCTTGACCCCAGCCTTGCAGTGGAACCTAATAAAAAGCGCCTGAAGCGACTGCCCCCCGCCCAGCGTGTCATTCCTGTTCACTGAACCGATCTCCACAGGCCATGTCTGGCATCTGCTCTCTGGGGCAGTTTGGGTAACTTCATGCCCCAAGATGTCCTTGTGTTCTGGTAATGTGCTTCAGCCATGACAGGGTGCTCCCCACTTCAGTCTGCAGGGTCCTGGGTACTGTACTGCCAGAGTCACACCTGAGTCAGAGGGACAGCGATCTGGTCTCTGTTGCCTCTGCTCAGTCTGATAGCCATGTAGCCCCTGTCCTGGGAATGCATGTCTGACCCACAGCCAGGCAGCAGGTGAAAGAGTTCAGGAAGATGGCACAGAGCTGACTGCCTTCCCTGTAGACAGCTAGGGGTTTCTCTAGGGCCCTCCCGCTGGCGTTGGTGTCAGCCTTTTACTCTGGCCAGCTTGGGTCTGAAAGAGCGCCCATAGGGAGGCAAGGGCAGTGGCCAGCAACAAAATGAGCCTGGGCTTTGGGGCAGTAGGCTCTTGAGGGTCTCAGTTTGTATGTGCAGCAGGGCTCTGGCCTGCCAGCCAGCCCCATCACTCAGGGCCTGTGAAGAAAGCAGAGGAGCTGGAAGTCCATGGCATTTTCCTTGTCCTGGCTGCTGTGGGTGATGCAGTTCTGGGACCTGTTCTTTCAAGAAATCATTCAAATCATGATTGGAAGTAGAAATGTGGTCCACTGTGCCCCAGGTCCCCACCTCTGCCCTACATGCTTCTCTGCTGGGCTTTTAATATCCCTGGTGTAACCTGTGGCTTCCAGTACACTCCATGGTTTCCCTCCAGCCTGACCTATAGTTGTTCGGCTCCTTCCGAGATGGTAGTGCATCAAGACTTGCATAAAGATCACTGACGGGCACACTGCAGGCCCACTGCCTTCCCTGCTAATGATGTATGCAACTTTCACTCCTCTGACAGGTTACCTCCTCATAGTAAGGGTCTAGGTGGGGACCAGAGCTGAGGCAGGGCAATGGACAGCGAGATCTGCCCTTATCTCTATTTCCCCACCTGGGTACTTTGTGGGATAGCCTTAGTGTGTTGGTAAATGTCCTCGGTAATTGTGTGCAAAGGTGAATCAAGGCTGGGAAAATCTAGTTAAAATTGGCACTCAACAACTGAAGATGCATGGGGTGGGGGGAAATACGGAGTAACCTGCTGAGGAAGTGGTGGCTTCATTCCCCCCTACCCCTGCTCCACCTTGAAAGCAGCCCAGCAGGGCAGCGAGCCAAAGGCCCATACTGGCATTGCCTGGTCAACACCAGGGTCAGCACAGTAGTGGTTGGCTCACCCAAGCCTCAGCATGGGGATAGGGCCCTGCAGTTAGTTTTGGTATGTACGCAAAGATGGCTCTGTCCAAACCCAGGAAATTCTAGAGTTGATCCCTCACCTGGTCATGCCTCAGACGCCTCCTGAGCTTTTCAGATAACATGTTTTTCCCCTTTTAAGAGAGGGGAGTTTGGAAGGATATGGTGGTATACACCTGTAAGGTGTACTACAGGAGAGGCTGAGACAGGAAGATTGCAAATTTGAGGCTAGTTTGGACAATTTAAAAGTAGCTCAGTGGTAGAGTGTGTGCCCACTATGTACGAAGCTCTGGGTTTGACCCCAGACCACCACCAAAAATAATAGGTGCTGGATCTTGCTTTGATGGTCCAGCTGTTGCTGAAAGTGGGTTCAAGTGTTCATCCTGCTTCAGGGGCACTGGCCCTTGGCTTCCGATGGAGTTTACAAAAACGTGGAACGTCCTTGTCTTTCACTTACGACGCTTCAGGACCCCTGACTGTGGCCTCCTGAAGCAACTGGAGAGTCCCCAGGAGGTGTCGCCGTGTCCATTGGTTTGTCACATAGTTGTGGCCTTTACGCTGAACACCGGCTTCTGCGGGATGATCACACAGGAGAAAACACCAGACTCGGCCCCGGCTCCACCCCTAGGCTCTGGCAAGCCCAGCCTCTGTCCGAGCCGGCCGGGCACGCCTGCGCTTCAGCCCCGCACCAGACCTGCCTCTGGGCAGGCCCGGTCTCCGCCCAGGCCCCACCCCTAAGGCCAGCAGGCCCCGCCCAGCCTGAGCCGGCCCCGCCCCCGCCCGGGCCCGCCTACACTACAGCCCCCGCACCAGGCCAGCCAACGGAGTGGCCCCGCCCCCGCAGTGCCGCTTTACGGCGGAGGCCGCGCCTTGCCGTGGGCAGCCGTAAAGTGTCAGAGGCGGTGCCACCCCCGCCGGGTTCTCCTACGCGATGGCGGGCAGCGAGCCGCGCGTCCACTATCTGGCGGGCTTCTCCTGTCCGCTCGGAGGCCTGACGTCGGGCAAGCCCCGCGTGCTGTGCCACGAGGAGGAGGTTTTCCTGTCCACAGGGAGCGAATTTGTCTACGTATATGACCAAGAGGGCGGGCTGCTGACCGTAAGCCGCGGGCGGCGGGCGGGGGGCGGCGGGCGGCGCTTTCCATAGTGAGACCCTGGATCTTGCAAGCGACTGGCCTGACCCCACTTTCCTGGCGTCTAGGCGGTGTACCAGTTCCCCGACCAGGTGTGGCACCTGCAGCTCCTGGCCCTTCGCAGGGCACTCTACGTTCTGTGCGCCCGGAGGGGCATCTACTGCTTGTCATTGGAGCCCCGGAGACGGTGAGGGATGAGCGTGACTCGCGTGTTCCCAGCCCGATTGGGATGCCTTGTCCTCCGTGAGGCCAGTGTGTCCTGCACGGCGTCGACTTCCTCACATAATTCCTAAGATACGCATGTAGTTTGCCCCGGACGGACTGGTTTGGAGCTATTGCCCTGCATCACAGCACTAGGAATGGAGAGCTTCACTCCATGGCACGATGTACCAGATGTTTTTAAGAGTCTCCACCTGGCAGGAGATTTTCTCAAGTGGGATTCAGATGGTGAAGTCTGAACCAGGAAAGCAGACCTGCACCTGGCCTGCTGGTCAGGTTCTCTCTGGCAAGCCCCTGGGAGGTGCATCTGATGGAGGTGGTTGCATTTGGTAGTGTGAGCTGTGACTGGTGCCACTGGTGTGTGATGTGGAAAGGCTGTGTGTGCACCTTGAAAACAAAGCCTGCAATCCAGTCCAGGCCCGTAGTACTGCTTTGAGAAGAATCGTGTGTTTGAGCCCCTCTATTGGGCTCAAACTGCCCTGTTGTATCCTGGGCAGTCCATGATGTCGGTGGGAATCTGTGACACATGGTCTGTCTAGAGACTGACAGTCTTTTAGGGGACTCCCAGTGGTGACCCATTCACAGCTTTCTGTGAGATAGGTTTTTGTGAGCAGATGTGCAGTCCTGACTTTGATTCCATTGTTCCAGATGGTCTTCGAGCCAGACAAGTGAGGACAACAAGGACAGTGAAGCCTCTTCCCCAGTGATCACTGTGGACCCCGAGGCCTGCGTCCTCCCAGATACCACACTCTGTGCATTTACTGTGCATGATGATGTTCTTGTGGCCCTGGTGCAGGGCCCTGCCCAGTGGAAAATGCAGCTGTTTGAACGTCCTCGTCCAGGGGAGGACTGCCAGCCAGGAGGCCTGGTTGGTGAAGTGGAGTTATCCACCTCTACCCCACCAGCTGGGCCTCCAGGGAAAGCGACAGTCCCCTGCTTCCTCCCCGTGCTGTGCTGTGTGTCACCACCAGGCTCCAAGGTGCCACTCGGCCATCCCCAAGGCTGCGGGGGCTTCATGTTGGAAAAGGCTCTCTTTGGGCTACTCTTTGGAGCAGATGCCACTCTGTTGGAGTCACCTGTGATCCTCTGTGGTCTCCCTGATGGGCAACTCTGCTGTGTGGTCTTAAAGGCTCTGGTCACTTCTCAGTCAGCCCCTGGTGACCCAAAGGCCCTTGTCAAGATCCTCCATCACCTGGAGGAGCCCGTTGTCTTCATGGGAGCCTTGAAGACAGAGCCTCAGGCTGAGGCAGCTGTGGAGAGTGTGCTGTCCTGTGAAGACGTATACTCAGACTGTTTGGTGGCCCTTGGTCACCATGGCCGGACATTGGCCATCAAGGCCAGCTGGGACAAGTCAGGGAATCTGGTACCAGAGCTTCGAGAGTACTGCCTCCCAGGACCTGTGCTTTGTGCTGCCTGCAGTGGGGGCAGCCGCATGTACCACAGCACCCCTTCAGATCTGTGCGTCGTAGACCTGGCTCTGGGAGGTATCCCCTTGAACTCTGAGCAGCCACAACCTGATGGAGTCCCTGGAGGCCTGCCTCCCTTGCTCTGCCCAGCCAGCTTGAGCATCTGTAGTGTCCTTACCCTCTCTGTGTTACCTAATACACCTGCAGGTATGTCTGCTGGTTTCTTCTGACTTCTAAACTAAAACGTGTAGGCTTGTCCTCATTGGGTACAGCCTAGTTTTCATTCACTCTTGTCTCAGGGCCAGGGAACAGCAGTGTGCATACCTGCCCCGGGATCAGTGTAAGGGTGGCACTCTGCCTCGGTGGACTCTGCCCCTTGCTTGAGTGGCAGCTCAGCATGTTTCCCCTGGTGACCACCAGTGTATCTACCTCAACCAGTCTCAAATCAGTTCTGGTGAAACCTTTACATGTCTCCTATTGAGACATGACACTGTATGGCTGCTTATGAGTCACTCTGGACCAAAGGAAGGTGGTATCGTGGCTCTCAAACTAGAGAGCGTGTGTCTACCTATGTTGGGATGTGAGCAAGACCACCACTGTCCTCCAGGACCTTCTGCCATTAGGAAGGTTTGTGAGTGCACCGGTAAATCTTGCCGTGGAAGATGTTCACTGTGAAAGAAGTGGTTTGGTAGACCCTCACGGAGATGGGAGTGGGATGTGGTTGATATGACCAGAGATGGAGGCCCCTGTGAGGCGATTGGCCTCAGCTGCTTGGCCACCCGTCTTGGCAGGGTTCACAACCAAGGGGCTGCAGTGGTGGCTGGGGACAGGCAGAGCCACAGCAGAAATAGCCTTTGTCTGCAGTGCTCCCTGGAAGTCTAGTGGCATGGAAGAGAGCAGACAGATGCTATAGATACAGCTAGGCTTCAAGAGGCTCTCCAGTGAGGGGTGGGAGAGTAGGCGGGGACCCAGAACAAGGGGCACTTCTTTTTGGAAGAGCTCAGATCGTCTTGTTCTGTGGGCCTTGTATAGGTCAGGCCATACCTAACAAATGTGGCACACAGTGTCATCATTTGGCCTCCTTTCAACCTGTTCATGTCCATGGGGACTGAATGCCACCATGGGGCCACTGCTGCTGTACCAAAGTCCCATCTCAGAAAGGCCCTTCAGAGTGTGAGACACTAATAGGGAGCATCTGTCCTGTCCCCAGCGGGTGTCTTGGGTCTTTTGCGGACCTTTTCTCCCTTAAATGTTGCCATGGGCCTGTTAGTGATAGAGCCTTGGGGAAATGGTGCTGAGTGTCACAGCAGCTGCTCCTTTGCTTGCTGACCTTGATGTCCTTCAGGTGACACTGAGCTGCTGGCCCTGTCTACCAAAGGCTGCCTGATGACCTGCCGGCTAGAGCTGAGCTCTGAGATGCCTGGTCCCACCAGAATGACTACAGAAAACACAGGCCAGAAAATCAAGGAGCTGCTGTCTGGGATTGGCGACGTCTCTGAGAGGTGAGTCATGGGCCCCAGCTCTGTGCTATGTGTTGGGTGATAGTGTCCTTGGTGACTGCAGCCCATGTGGCCATTACCACCCTGGCCCCATCCCACCCTTTTTCCATGGCCAGGGCACAGGAGATGCTCCATGCCAGTTCCGCCCCCAGGCTCTCTCCTCAGAGGTCTCTGACCCCTCCACTCAGGCCTCCTCCCTTCCCTGGGTGCCACATCTGCTCTTTGCAGAGTGTCCTTTTTGAAGAAAGCTGTTGACCAGCGGAACAAGGCCCTGACAAGCCTCAACGAGGCCATGAACGTAAGCTGTGCCCTACTGTCTAGCCGGGAGGGCCCCCCACCCATCTCGTGCACCACCACCACTGCCTGGAGCCGCCTGCAGCTGCAGGACGTGCTGATGGCCACCTGTCTGCTGGAGAACCACAGTGACTTCAGCCTGGACCAGGGCTGGACCTTGTGCATCCAGGTGCTCACCAGCTCTTCTGCCTTGGACCTGGATTCTGCCGGTTCAGCTGTCACTTACACCATCCCTGTGGACAGGCTTGGCCCCGGCAGTCAGCGTGAAGTCACGCTGCCCCTGGGCCCCAGTGAAAGCGGTGTGCTTGACTTGCCCGTGACTGTGTCGTGCACACTATTCTACAGCCTCAAGGAGGTAGTAGGTGGGGCCCTCACCCCCTCGGATCCTCTGGAAGACCCCTTTCTGGAGGAACAGCCCCTCGATCTCCTTCCAGAGCAGGAGGGCATCTGCCTGCCCCTAAGCAGGCAGACAGTGGACATGCTGCAGTGTCTACGTTTCCCCAGCCTGGCCCCACTCTGTGCACGCACACCCTGCCCACTCGGCCCTGCTGCTGACCTAGTGGACACGTTCCTGGAGACGTGCCGAGCTCCAAGCAGTGAGGTGGCAGGCCCTGCAGCTCTGCGGGCTAAGTACCTCCCCCCGTCCACAGCCTCCATCAGAGTGTCGACAGAGCTCCTCAGGGCTGCCCTGGAGGACACTCACTCAGGTTGGTGGCACCAAGTAGCTTCACTCTAGCTTCAGCCATGAGGGCTGTGGACACAGGTCATTTCTCCCTCTCCCAGTGGTTCCTGGGGCAGCTGTGGGCCTGCAGCCCTCCAAACTCTGCTGTGTCCTGGTTGCCGTTGGAGTCATGTCTTGCATTGTCCTGCCACCATGTTTTTCTTTTAAGTTGTGTTTCTTAAAAATCGTGGAAGCATGACCTAAATACAGAAGCAGACGTGCCACCAGGGAACAGCCTGGTGAGTTTTACAGGGCCAGCACCTGAGGAGCCACCCTCAAGGGCCGCAGCGCCATCGGGATCATCTCTGAGCTCCATACCTGCTGTGTCTGGTTCCTGCTACCGCTGTGTTTGTGAGGCCCTTTGTGTTGGGTGACGTGGGGGTCTTGTGCCAGGAAGGTGTTCTTCTGTCGGATGTCATTGTTTATTGTCAGTGGATGTTGGTCAGTTTTTAGGTTTATGTCCAGGGCAGTGGCCACAGTCACCCCCATAGAGCGCCCATGTGTGTTCCTATCAAGTGGAACTGCCTCTCGTGACCCGCCACCTGCATGCTGGCAGGGCCTCCGGAGAGTGAACTGGTGCAGTTCTTCCCTGCGTCATGTTTGGAGCACCTTCCTCCCTTCCTCTTGGCTAGCCCGCCCAGTTCCGTTTGGGGTGAGGCGGAGGGCAGCTGGGGCTCTAGGGTAAAACTAGAAGAGGACACATCAGGGTGGCAACACTGTTTTTTAGTAGGATCAGCCTAACCTCCTATCCCTCTCTCCCTGCAGGTGTTCCCCTGTGCAGTGCCACCCTGCAGTGGCTCCTCGCAGAGAATGCTGCTGTGGATATTGTGAGAGCCCAAGCGCTGTCTTCTGTTCAGGGCGTGGCCCCTGATGGCACTGATGTCCATCTCATCGTCCGTGAGGCAAGCAGGGGCACAGCTCACCTACCTGTAGGGAAGCTGGCCTCCCCACCAGCTGTTCTGAGTCGATCCCTGGATCAGTGGTACTGGGCAGCTTTGGAGGAATCTGACCAGGGCTAACCCCATAGCTCAAGCCCCTGTGAGGTTGGGCTCTGCTCCTTCCCACTCACAAGTACCCTTCCCTTGTGTGCCGCTACCTGCTGCTGGGCAGCTGCCCATGCCCTAGGAGCAGCTCACAACCTTGGCCCTCTGGGGAGGTAAAGTGGGTCTGCCAGTGCCCAGCATGTCCCTCTCACATACCCTTCTGGGACTGACTCTCATGTTCCATTGTCAGAGACTTGCACAGTAGTGTAGGCTTCCAGGACACCGCTGTCCCCCAGGATAGTAGACACAGGGTCCACTTGGAATTGAGCCACAGCACTCATTCACCTTGACCCTGCTGCCCATTGCCCACTTGTCCAGCCAGACAGGCTGGGCCACCCTCTGGTGAGAGACATCCCTGGATCCTGAGGCTGGGTCTGGCAGTGGCTCTGGGTTGGCAGAGGCCATGCTTGCCAGCCTGCTGGGTAGCCGTGTGTGGAGAGCAGGCCAAGGCTTCATGTGACCTGTCAGCGGCACAGTCCAGAGTTCCCAGAGGTCGCCCCTCTTGACGGGTCCACAGCTGAGTTCACACAACAGCCTGACCCTGCTGTCCGATGGGCTGTGGCATGCATCGTGGGGTGGGGCAGCCTTCGATAAGGTTTCCTGGCCCTGTGTCCTGAGGGTTTCCCTTTGTGTCTGTCCAGACAGCAGGTTTCTTGTCTTGGGTTCTTGGTTGGTTGTCTGGGTCAGTGCTCTTTGCCCCAAACTGCTTGCCTGCAAGATACTGAGGGGCATCCCAGGCCAGGAGTTGGGGCTCCCCTGAGGGGTGCCACAGGGGCTGCCAGCAAGGACTTGTGTGTGTTGCAGGTGGCTGTGACTGACCTGTGCCTGGCAGGACCCATTCAGGCTGTAGAGATCCAAGTGGAGAGCTCTTCTCTGGCGGACATGTGCAGGGCACACCATGCGATTGTCAGGCGCATGCAGGTACAGCAGCTGTGGGGCCCAGGTGGGAAACAGGCTGTGGGGCTTGTGAGCTGCTTGTAGGACTGTATAGCCGCAGGCCGAAGGGCTGGCAGGAGGCAGCACATGTGGACAGCTGAGGGGTGTTGGAGAGCTCTCTCCGACAGGCAGATGCTGCCTTCCAGATGTGCCCCGTTCCCCCAGTCTCCCCTGTCCAAGGCCTGCTTGCGCCCTTGGGCTGATGGATTTCCACTTCTTATGCCAAGTCAGCCTGAGGTCCCATGGCCCCTGGCTGAGGAGAGGCCAGAGAGAGATGCCACACCTGGGTCTGGATCATGGCGAGCGGCCTGCCCCTGCCTGTTCTGAGCACAGTGAATGGCTCTCCAGGTTTCCTGGGGCAGGACCAAGTCGCTGTGCTGCTGCACCTAGGTCCTGTGGGAACCAGTGCTTTTCAGTCTGGGAAGTTCCTGCTTTTGAGTCAGTCTAACTGGTGCCTACAGCAGGGCAGCCTCCCTCCATAGCCATGGTCTTAGCACAGTCTCCACCTCTGTGAGGAGGTCTCAAGGTTCATCCTAGCCAGCCTCAGCTCCAGCCTCCCTCGGCCTTATCTGGAGCTTGTCAGCTACTCTGACCTGGTGGGTGCTGCGTCCCAAGACGTGTCACAGAGATCCTGCCTAGACCAGGCAAGTGCCATCAGCTCCATCAGAACACAGATTAGCCGAGACCCCAGCTGACACCATGCCACAACCCTCCCGTGACCCAAACTTCATCCTACGAAGTGCTCGTGGTACAGCATTGATCTCATCCCTGGACACAGGAGCCCAGTCCTGGCATTGTGAGCTGGAAGTGTCCAGGGCAGTGGGCCACATGGCAAAGGTTCCATCCACAGGGCCAGCCAGTCCCCAGGAAACTTCTTTCAACTGTACCAGATCGTTCTTCCTTACAGAGACAGCTTTATTAGGATAGTACCACCCTAATGACCATCTTGGCCACCTACAAAGCCCTCCCTTTCCAAATACAGTTCAATTTGGGGTACTAAGGTTAGGACTCCCATGTGTGAATTGGTCTGACAGATACACACTGCAGCCACTCTGGTTGGGAAGCAGCACAGCTGTGGTGACACTGGCATGTACTGTGTGTCAGCACGGTCCAGACCTGAGCCAGCGCTTCCTGGGATGGTCCTTGGGTGGCACCTTTACTCCAGGGGACCTCATCATCCCAGCTAAACTGGCAGGGACCTTTGGTATTAGGCAAGCTGGGCTGCCTCAGGAAGAGGGTGCAGGCCTGCTGTGTGGACAAGCAGGCAAGCGGGTGGGCTCTGTAGCTTGTCTGCGCTGACAGACAAGGACAGTAGGTAGCAGGGAGGTTCTGTTGTGAGTGGGGAAAGGGCCGGAATTAGTAGAAATGTTAGTTATAAGTAACTGTCAGAGAGGCCACTGGGCAGGACACAGTGATGGGAGTCAGGGCTGTGTGATGCAGTCACCTATTGGGGAGACAGATGGAGGAGGGGTCACCTGCACACAGGAGGACAGGGCCTCCAGACACAGGCTTACACCTCAGGGTGCTGTGGGAAGTGCCCTCTCTAGCACCCCTGCAAACCCCTGTGTCCCCCAGACAATGGTCATGGAGCAGGCTGCCCGGGGCTCCAGCCCACCTGACCTCCGTGTGCAGTATCTCCGTCAGATCCATGCCAACCATGAGGTGAGTGTCCCGCTCTGGGCGCCCAGTCAGCCAGGGCTGGCCTGGCCCTCAGGAGAGTGGCTTGGCTCTGGGCAGGGGCACAGTGGGTGAGGTCACAGCTCTTTCCTGTCTCTTGCACCATCTGTTCCCCCAGTCAGACCCACCTGGCTGCACATCCCATGTTTAAGGTCACAGCCCAGTGTTTTTCCTTGGACCTCCCAAGAATAGGGACACCCTCAGAGAGGGGCAGAGTCTGAGTGGTGTTGCTTGCAGGCGCTGCTGCGTGAGGTACAGACCCTGCGTGACCGGCTCTGCACCGAGGATGAGGCTGGCTCCTGTGCCACAGCCCAGCGGCTCCTCCAGGTGTACAAGCAGCTGCGCAGCCCCAGCCTAGTCCTGCTGTGAGCAGGTGGGTCTGGTCTCCCTTCCTCAGTCCACACTGATAACCCAGGTCTTGGTGGTTTTACAGAGAAAACCCAGAAACTCGGCCCCTTACTCAGGAGGCGCAATGGCTGGGCCAGAGCCCCATGGGGCCCCAGAAAGCACAGGAGGGGCAGAAGAGGGGCCTAAGTGTGTCTAGGCAACATCTGGCCCTGGGGACTCGGCACCTGTCACTCGTCCCTTCCTCCCCACAGCTGCTGGACCACTGCTCATCACAGCGGGGTGCTGCGCCCCTGGTGTCCCAGGGCTGCTGCACAGCACCCCCTCCGACTGGACATTACGGACCTCAGCTGGAACCACTGCTGGCCCAGTGGGCAGGCCATGGAGACACAGGGTTTCTGGGGTCAGGACTGGGGGTTTGTAACTGTTGTCCTTGCTACTTCCGCCACACCCCAGCAGTACCAGTGGCCCCTCTGGGGGAAGGGTGCTCCCTGCAACCAAAGCACAAATCCCTGTAAACCAGTGTTTCTTGCTGTGCTGAGAAAGGACCCTCATGGCCAGAACCTCAGCAGGAAGGTGCCTGCCACCACTGCTGTGCCCAGCACTGTGCTCTTTCCAGGGTCACCTGGGGCAGGGCCTGTGGCCGCAGCCTGCCCCTTAGCCTGGTGCTGTTTTTACTACTGAGGGTGACCACATCTGGACCCTGCCATGCTCCGTGCCACTCCTGCTGTGAGCTGTCTGTGATGAGCCTGTGCAGGTGCTGTGAGGTGCTTTAATGACAAGCGACCCTTTCTGTTGAGCTCTGGATCTTGGCTCGTTTTTACCCCCTTCCTGCTCTCAGGCAGGTGGCACCCCCCCCTATCCCCAGGTTCCACAGGGCCCCTAGCAGCGTTGCGGTACGCTAAGAGATGGAGCCCTGCTGGCTTCTTCATGGCCAGGGAAAAAGGAGGCCTTGCAAAAGACTGAACCAGGGGTCACTCTTGCAGCATCAAGCTACACTGGGCTGCTCACCATCCAGGGCCAAGAGTCTAGGAGAACAATCCCACCTGCTCTGCCTAGGGGCCCTGTCCATAACTGTGTGAGCGCCACTTGCCTGTCACCTCCCAAGTGCATGGGAGCCAAAGTAGTGCTTATGCCCACATCTTGCTCTAAGCACCACCAAGCAGGATACGGGCACTAGGACAGCCCTCGGGGCAGGCAGAGTTCACCCACCTTGGAGAACTCCCTGTCCTAGACTGCTGGCCATTGTACCTTGCTGTGCCCCACTGGCCGTGGCAGACCACAAGGATCCCAGAGCTAACAGGTCCAGGCTGCCTACATGGCTCAATTCCCACACCCCAGCAGGTTCTAGGCGTCAGAGTAGATGTCCCAGGAGTCCACGATGCCCACCAGCTTCTCCAGGAGCAAAACCCTGGCACCACCACCCTGGCAGTGATGACACTGGAGTGGAGCTGAGCACCCGTCTGTGCAGCTTTGGTGGGTGTCCTCACCAGCAGGGTGGAGGCCCTTTAGTGAGAAGCCCTGTGGCAGGACAGTCACATGGTTCCAGCCTGGTGCTCCACTCTTGCCACGCCCCTCCAGCGCTTTTTTGCGCCAGTCTTAGCTGACACTAGGGGGCACTGAGGGCCATGCGGCAACCTGAGTTCTGTGCCTCCAAGGTTAACTGTGCCCTGCTGGACACCTGTCCCTTGGGGTCACCCTGGCTTCTCTGGGAAAGCCAAGGCCCTGTCTTCCCTCATCCCTAAGTGAGAGGAAGGGGTGGAGTCCATCCCAACCTGGGTTCTGTGGTCCTGCTTACTTGGCTACATGCTATTGCCAGGTGTCTGTCCTCACAAGAGAGGACTTCTGTGCCCAGGCTTTCGAGGGGCAGGGCAGGGAGCTCCTATTTCAGCGAGGAGCTGTAGGCCTAAGCCAGCAGCCTCTGGAGCAGTATGGGGAGAGGGCTTTTTCCTCGGGGTCTCTAGGCCAAAGGCCCCAGACTGAACCTGCAGGCTTCCCTCACTCCCCAGTAGTAGCCTTCTGGTATCCTGTGCTGATAGACAATTTAATGGGGGCTGGTGGGCCCTGTACCCGCAGCTGTCCTCGGTGCTGTCCTCAGTACTCCCAGAGTGCCACCCCGGTAGGCACATCAGCGTCGGCGCGCAGCATCCCTGAAGCCCCGCCACGCAGGTACTTGCCACTTCGGGCTCTGATGGCCAGGCGGCTGCGCTCACGGAACTCGAAGAGGAAGTCCTCTGCGCGCTCGCCGTCACTGCACACAGCTCCGTGACTGCCTGTGTACCAGAACCCGCCGCCGCGGCCTGGTGAGGGAGCTAGGGGTCAGCAGGGCCACCACATGCACCTGCACTCCCACTGCTTTATGTGTGGCTCTCACCCCTGCACACCTCGGATCTGATAGGCACCGTCGCTGAAGCTCAGGTGGAAGACATCGTACACCGAGCGGTTGGTGTCCAGCTGGTTGGAGCCACGCCGGTGGCAGACAAAGCCATCCAGGCCTCGAAGCACCAGGATGGGCCGGTTAATGAGCTTGAGGACAAACTCCTCATCCTCACCTGCAGGAGAGGGCACTGTGGGGACCTTGCTGCGACCTTTCCTGTCCAGGCGGCCCAGTGGGGCCTCTGGGATGAACCCAGTCTTGGACTCAAAGGCCCAGTTCTACCATTATCCAGTGTATGATCTTGGTGAGGGACCTCACACCATGAACCTTGGGATCCCCAAGCATGCAAGGAATTAAAGAGGCCCCATAATGCCCAGAGATGCAGTGGAGGGAAGGACAGATGCCCTGGGACCCATGTGTACACCCAACAACCATCTAGCTGGCGAGAGGGACTTGTCACAGTGCCTGCATTCTGAGGGCGGAAGGAAAGGGGGACTCTGCATAGGCATTTTGCAGGGGGAGTGTGCACCCCACCTCTGGGTGCCAGAAGCTCACCCACAAAGTCACTGATGGCTGCCAGTTGCCCGTTCTTCTTCATGCACACGTAGCGCCCATTGCTGGCTTTGAGTGCCACCCGCCGACCACGCCATTCCACCTCAAACATGGTGCTGGCAGATCTGAAGAGAGAAGGGCATGGGTGCAGGGTCTGACCACCCTGTCTCCCTCAGGTTCCAGTGGCTGGGCTGGAAGCCTGCCCTCCACCAACACCCAGACAATTAAGAACTGCACCCGCCCCAGGGCGCATTCTTCCCTTCCCGGCTGAGCTGCCACAGCAGCAGCATCCTCACAGTTGAGGTGGTGAGGATGGAGGAGGCAGTGGTAGAGGTAATAGTGACAGTGGCGGCGGGTTGAGGTGGTAGTGCTAGGGCATAGAGGCAGGGCAGGCACACTCACACTTGTGTGGCTGTGGCCTGAATGCCACCGTGGGTGACCAGGGTCCAGTAGCCCCCCGTGCTGGAGTAGAAGGTACACTTCTTTGTCTCCTGGTCAATTTGCATCAGGAAGGTCTCGTGGTCCTGCTCCTCATCCTGATTGGCTGAGACATTGATGCCTGGAGGGAAGATATGGGGAAGGCCCTCAGGCCTCTTCTGGGAGGGGAAGCCTACTTTGGGGAGATCCTGAGTCCAGAGGGAGTCTTACCCAGAATCATCTGGGTTTGATTGGAAGGCACTTCCCAAAGTGTCTGGCAGCTGCGTCAGCATCATGGGGTAGTGGCAGACCCCACACAAAGCTGCTAAGGGACCCTTGACCTAGCTCTCCCACACCTGGAGCCAGACCCTTCCGTGCCAGCAAATCCCCCACTGCTAATCAGCAGGTAATCTGCTTGCTTCTACTGACCCAGGATTACCCCAGCCTCTATTTATAACTCCCACCTAAGCTGCTGGTGGGCACAGTGGGTCTCCATCCTTTGCACAAATAGCGCAGGGACCAGGCACCCACACCCACACCCACACCCACACCCACACCCACACATGCGCTTTGTCTCTAGAGAAACCAAGGGGAGGACCAGGCCCCTCAGGCTCTGCTATGGGTTCCCAGGACAGGAGAGGGCGTCCATCTGCAAGACTGAAGGCAGGAGCCAAGCACTGGCCTCCACAGGGTCTTCTCCAGCAGACACCCCTGTCTCCCTGGCAACTGGCCATTCTATTGCTGTGACAGGTTTCAGCACCCCCTGGGGTCCAGGGTAGAGGGGTATCTGGTTGAGGGAAAGAAGTGTGGGAAGTAGTGCCTCTTAACAGTCTAAGAATGCTGCCCCTAAAGGAGAACATAGGCCTAGAGAGGAGGCTATGGGCCCCCAAAGGCCTAGCCTGCACCCCCGACTCAAGCTGCAGCTAGCTCCTGCTGTGGAAGGAGTCCAGGTCTTCACTGCCATCCCCATCCCCATCATCTCTGCGGCAACTTCAGTCCAGTCTGAGCCAACAGACCCCAGACTGCACCTTCACACATGCAGTAGTAGTGAGTGGAGGCCGTAGAAAGTGCCTGTGGTCCAGCTGATGAGAGCCGTGCACCAACTGAAGCCATGGCTTGAAGAACAGGACTTTCTAGAAAAGAGCCTCCTTGCAGGGGCTGAGCCAGGCGCTGGTCCAAGAAGCTTGGCTGGATGTGCCCAGTGTCACCATGTGGCAGCACAGCCACCGCCACATCTCCCAGGTCATGAGTGCTGTGTCTTCCCGTCACCCACACACCTCCAACAGAATGCTGTGTGGTGTCTCCCTCCTCACAGGCCACCTGCCCCAGCAACTGGCCTCATGGTAGAGACAGGCAGCCCAGACTGCCTTGGATAGTGCTGACTCCCCACCCTGGAGTGATTATCAACCAGGGAGAAAGGGTGCTCATTTCAGGCCAAAGCAAGTGAAGGTGTCTGCCAGGGTTCAGGGGAGATACTTCCCTATTTGTAAGAAGTAACCCTTCTTTCTCTGGAGTTTGTCCTATCTGGGCATGAAGCCCCGAAATATAGCAGCCATTCTAGGACCACAAGAATGTCAGCCTTGAGGCTGGGGATTTAGCTCAGCAGCACAAGTGCCTGCCTGGCAAGTGTGAGGTCATAAGTTCGATCCCCAGTACCGAAAAAGAAAAAATGTCAGCCTGAGGTCAGAGCTGGCCTAGGACAACGGCTTAGCAAGGAGCTAAGAACAGAGGCCCCTGATTACACAGCTGGCAATGGTGCTGGCCAGGTATTCACAAGGCTTCTGAATTTCCCATTTATATGAAATACTGAGTATCCTTTTTGTTTTGTTTTGCTTCCTCCTTTAGACAAGGTCTTGCTATGTTAGTTCAGACTGACCTTAAGCTCTCTAGGCAGGCTTCAAACTTGAGGTGATCCTCATGCCTCAGCTTCCCTGGTACTGGAATTACAAGCCTGCACCACCATGGCTGATTCTTCAGTCTCCTTATTGTTTGAATCAGTTTGTGGCCAGTCTTCTATTCCTGACTGCTGCACCCATCCGTCAGCAGAGGTAGGAATAGGTAGACCGTGGATGACAGAGCCCATAAAAGCAAGTTAACAGCCGGGAGTGGTGGCATGCCTGTGATCCCAGGATTTGGGTGGCTGAGGCAGGAGGGTCCCTGCAGATTTGAGGTCAGCTTGAGTTCAATCCAGCCCAGCCTGAACTACATAGTAAGGCCCTGCCTTAAAAAGCCCAAAAAGTAAACAAAGGGAAATGTAACCACTAACCTGAGTTGGGACAGAGACTCCCACGAGGCAAAGGGTCAGGGTCAGGGCTGCCTGGCCAGGGCTGCCACCAAGGCACGCAGTACTGCCGCTCTAGGCACGGCTTGGGAGCAGATGCGGCAGAGCTCAGTTCCACTCCTCAAGCCAGGCCGGCAGCTCCCCGCTCCTCTTCTGCTTCCCCAGGACAGAGGCACCACAGCCAGCTTCACACTGCTGTCAGCTGGCGGGGCAGCGCATACCTGTAACCTCCGCCCTTGGGCTGAGGCAGGAGGATTGCTGGGGACTCGAAACCAGCCTGGACTCGGGGTGAGTTCAAGGACACGCTCAACTCCAAAAAAAAAAAAAAAAAACCCAGCAACAAAAACAAAACACTGCTGTCAAAGTCTGAAACCTCTGAAGGGCAGGGCCAGGCTCCCACAGCCTTAGTGCAAGGGAGGTGAATCCCTGGCCCTCTGGATCTCAGTAGGGCACTTCCCCACAAAGGGCTACGTCAGCTAGGGGGGGTCAGGAGGGAGTAAGGCCATTGTCCCTACACTGCCACTTCTTCCACCCCTCCACATCACCATCACCACCACAGCTGTCACCTCCATCATCCCGCTGTGAACTTTCCACCTCTGTTCCCGCCACCAACATGCATATCCCTCCGCTGACACCCTCACTATGACCATAGCCACCACTGCCTTTACTGCCCCCAGGAATCTCACAGACTGTCATTCACAAACACTCTGGTGCCCGCCAGGCTCTTTGACCCCACAGGAAGATTCCCTGCCACCACTGCACTACGTAACTGAGGAGCACGCAGGCCTTGGCCTTGGCTTTCCAGGCCTCCTCCCCAGGCCGGAAAGTGGTGATGGAAAGGAGGAACTGAACCCGTTCTCCATCAACCCTACCACCTGGCCGTGTGCTGGGATGAGTGCTCAGGAGTGACCAAGCCCTGTTGCTGAGCTGCACTGGCTAAGCACACCCCACTTGCAGGTGCAGGGTGCAGGGTGTGACTGCGCTCCCATCAGGGCACTCCTCCCTGACTTCTACCATCTGGGCCAAGAAGTGAGTGTCCAGATCCTAAAATGGGACAGTGCCCAGAGAGATGACATCCCACAGGTCAGGGCAGGCCTTGGTGAGCACATGGGAGCCGCCCTCTGCCTGATGGCTGCTAGCCGAAATCGGGTGCTCCGCCATTTGGGGGCATTCTGGGAGCCAAGTGGGCAAATGACCATGACAGCTAGCCTGGTCCCCGGCAGCACAAGGCCCCTTGAGACCCTCACTGTCTGATTAGGAAATAAAAACTGCTGTGTTTGTCCTGGAGGTAATCAGAACTGGGCAATGGAAAGACCCAGGCTGCACCACAGGGACAGAGATGACACTTTCCCACAAGAAGCCCAGGACCTGGACAGGACTGCCTGCTTTGTCCACCATTCCTGGGGCCACAGGTGGCTCCCACAGTCAGACACGTGGAGGCGCTTCTTCCTTGCCTTCCTCTGGCCTCCCCACTCCCTAGTGTCTGTCAACCTCCAGAAAGCCTAGAGATGAAAGAGAAGGACTGGAGCTACCTTGGACTCCTGCCCATCCTGGCCAGATACGAGTCACATGCCCTTTTGTCCTACCTCCCAGGACCAGGGCTCAGCAGAGTTATTCCCCGCTGTCCTGAGAGGCCAGGAGCCCTGCTCTGAGCCCACGCCCTGGCCCTGCCTGGCTTTGTAGACACACACGTCCCATGTGGACAGGCGCTCACACAGAGCCCAGGACCTCCTACCTTGCCTCACAGAAACGTAGCGCCGGTTGGCAGCCACCAGGACCACCTGGGGGTGACTCTCCTCCAGATCAAAGAGCTCGTCCTTGCCAGGCCGTGTGTTGCGGCCAGCCTTGATTGTGCCTGCAGGCCCCGTTGGTGCCAGGTATCGACCGTCACAGTCCTTGAAAGCTAGCTTGCCCGCCTTGAACTCCAGCGTGTAGCACGCGCGGGCCTCGGGTTCCCGGACCAAGCGGCCGTCGCTACGCAGGTAGCGGCTGTCACAGGCCCTGAGGCAGTACCGCCGGCTTTGGAAGATGAGCGTGAGCAGCGCGTCCACACCCCATGGCATGTCCCCATCTGCTGCCATCTCGTCCTCCTGTGGGCACAGGTGCACATAGCGCCGCCGGCTGATGCTCAACAGGTGGGCCTGCGGGTGGATGGCCAGATGCACAGTCCACAGCTCTGCTGGGGAGATGGCCGTGGCAAAGCAGGATAACTGGTCCTCGGTGCCACCGAAGAAGCGGCCATGTGGCTCCGACTGCAGCACCCAGCGCCCATCAGGCTGTGGCAGGACCAAGAAGCGGCAGTCACGGCCTGGCTGCTCTGCCTCGCAGGCCACACGCCCATCCTCCTCTGCAGACAGGTAGCGGCCCAGGTGGCTGCTGCGAAACAGCACCGCCGTGCCCTGCTCAGGGTCGGGCTCCAGCACCCATGTCTGCTTCCTCTTGAGACTGGGAGCTGAGGCATTGACCTTGAAGCCAAAGCTCTCGGCTGTCAGGTAGCGGTCGGTGTCATTGACAAGACCAAACTGGATCTTCAGCACCTGGTGCAGGCCATTGGTCGGCATCTTCAGAGCTGGCCAGGACCCTCAGGAGCCTGGGAAGCTCACTTGATGCTCACGGTCCCCAAGGCTCCCGGGCTCAGGCAGCGTCATGGACCCACCGCCTTCTCTACCACCTCTGACCAGCAGCTTCGGCCACCCAGGTGGCTCTTACATGGCCAGTGGGCAGCAGAGGGCGGGCGGGAGGGTGGATCAGAGATGTGCGGCTTAGGAGCCGCGGCTGCCTTTCATTACCCCCAGCTTGGATTTCAGCCGCTCCTGGAATGCATTGGCCGTGCCTGATGCCCTGCAAGACCGCAGAGCAGCACTGATCACTGCCCCAGCGTGGCTGTTCGGGGCCCAGGGCTTGGTCCTGGCTCCCCACTGCAGCCGCCACAGTTTTAGCCTCTCTTTCCTGCCCTCACCTTGGGCACCCCCAGCCCCAGAGTTCAGACTCCCAGCCCAGCCCCACTCTTTCCCAAGGTAGAAAAAGCCACCCAGTGGAAAACTCACAGCAGGGCTGCAACCCGATCATAGCCCTCCACCCTCAGCACTGCCAGATCCTCCGGAGGATCCTGTTACTGCTTCTCTGATTCCCGCTGCCAGCAGAGTGCAAGGCCCCCACCTGGCAGCCTGCAGTCACCCCTCCAGTCACATTGCCCCTGCAGCCCTGAGGCTGGCCCTGCTCTAGGTGTGGCCCTGAGCCATGGGCTGAGAAGGAGGAAGGATGGGAGTTGGTGCAGTAACAAAGCCAGGACTTGGGACCTCAGACCCTTGATTGAGGCAGGGTATGGCAGGGTGGACACTCGTGCACTGGCTACGCTGGTCTTCTTATGAATCGCCCAGTTTGGGAAAAGTGACTTGTGTGCAAGGGAGACTGTAATGACCACCTTGAAGGCTGTCATGCAGAAGTCTGCCCCGTCAGGTCAGCGGACCAGGGCCTGGCTAACTCCTGCACGCTGCATGTAGGTCCCTGCCAGGAGACTGTTCCCCCACAGTGAGCTCAGAGTGATACCAGACTTCAGCAGACTTGCGCGATGGCCTTGGGGACCTTGTGACTGCCAGTGAGATCCACAGGGGAAGCCAGGCACAGGGGTGCATTCCCATGACCCCAGCCATTCAGGAGACTGAGGTGGGGGATTGCAAGCTCAGGCCAGTTCAGGCAGTTTAGCAAGACCATGCCTTTTATTTTTATTTTTTAAGACCATGCCTTTTAGGGGCTGAGGATTTAGCTCAGTGGCATAAGCACCTGCCTTGCAAGCAGGCAGTTGTGAGTTCGATCCCTGGTACCGATAAAAATGAAAAAGACAAAATGAATAAATAAAATAAAATAAAAAATAAAAAAGACCATGCCTTTTTAAAAAGGTCTGAGGGTTTAGCTCAGTGGTGTGAGTGTCCCCAGTACCAAAAAAAATAATAAAATTATTTTTTAAAAGGGGAGAGGCTAGGGGCTGGGGATTTAGCTCAGCGGCATAAGCACCTGCCTTGCAAGCAGGCAGTCGTGAGTTCGATCCCCAGTACCGATTAAAAAAAAAAAAAAACGGGGAGAGACTGAGGTTGTAGTTCAGTGGCAGAGCACTTACCTAGCATGCATGAGGCCCTGAGTTCAATTCCCAGTACTGTTACTAAAAACAAACAAAAAAATGGCTTGGGCAGCTGGCCTGACGTTAGAGTCTTTATAACTCAGGTCCAGGAGCTCATGTGAGGCCAAATCTGACCCACACTGCTGGAAGTGCCTTTCAGGATCTGACGAGGATGAGACTGGAAGCTTTCCATACCTGGCCCTGTCACTTTCAGCCCAGCAGTCCCCCTGCGCCCATTGCCTGAGGGTCATCCTAGAAGGGGAAGCAAGGTCTGCTCAAGCACACAAGACCTGCCTGCCTGCCTGTCATCAGCACCTGCCTCAGGGCCTGGGAGCCAAGTGAGGAAACTCGAGCTGCCCATCCTGGGCCAGGGCCAGACTCGGTGTCCTTTTCCTCATAACAGCGTGTGACCCTCAGGCTTTTCTCAGGACCAAGACCGGGGCCACAGGGCACTTCCTACTGCAACCTCCTGTTGCTCTTCTGTCCTGGGTGCTTCTTCTCTTGAGTGGCTGAGGAGAGAACAGCCTTGCCCCGGGCACTGTTGAGGAATGTGTATGTATAGGACCCGGAGTCCATGTCTAGCCAGGTTCCTGATGACGCCGAGGAACAGAGGGGCCCTGGGTCTCAGGGAGATACCTGCCCATGAGTCTCTACTGATCTCGGCCCACCCTGTGGAACACATGCATCGGTCTACAGCCAGGCCAGAGCTGTCCTGTGGTGATGCTGTCAGGGTAGCACTTCCTTCCCAGAGACAGCACCCAAGTACCCCGCACAGTGCCCCTGTGATGCTCATACCTAATTTCCAGGCTGGAAGTGTTGCTGATTTGAGGCACAAGCCAATGATTCTGCCTATACACAGGTCCCCCTATCTGGTCCCGTGGGCACATTTGTGCATACTGTGGACACAGGAATGTCCACCCAGGTGTGGATACTGGTAGTCTCCTTCAGTCTAAACTCCCAGGCAGGCTGAAAATGAACCCAGGATGTCCTGTCCTTTGATTGGCATGTAGGCCTCATTAGTCTGATGGTGCTGGCAGGATATCCACGGGCATCAGGTGCCAGCAGGAGAAAGCCTGGCTACCAGTCACTAAGCGCCCTGGCTCTAGGCAGCCTCTTGGTGAGAGAGCCAGGAGTGGCTGTGGTCCCTCCGCTCTGAGCCCTGAAACAGTCAGAGTGCATGAGCCAAGGAGGGCTGTCGGGCCCACGGGAGGGGCTCTCGTGGAGGGAGGGAGGCAGAGTTCCCAGGCGTCTCCATCGGCTTCCACACAGCTCCTAAGGCTCTAGTGTGGCTGCTTCTGGGGAGCAGTTTCCTCTCGGACCCCAGCCAGTCTCCAGTACACCACAGGCACTTGCCAGGTACCAGCGACTGCTGCAGGGTCCGTGTTTCTTTTTAAATTTTACTTGTCTATTTATCAATACTGAGGATCGAACCCAGGGTGCACTATCACTGAGTCACAGCCTCAGTCCTTTTTCTTTTTAAAGCAGGCTCTGGCTAAGCAACTAAGTCACCCAGGCTGATCTTAAACTTGCCCTCAGCTTTCTGGAGGGCTGGGATTACACATGTGTACCACTCTGCCTACTTTGGCACTGTAGGGGAGAGGCCTGATTCTTATGTGATGGGCTAAACCAGTGTGTGTGTGTGTGTGTGTGTGTGTGTGTGTGTGTGTGTGCAAATATGTATGCGCACACGGACCTGGACAGGCTGAGCCGCCATGTTCACCTGCTAAGCCAGCCTGGCCCATAGAGATAGAGCTCTTAACACAGGCTCAGAGCCCACTCACGGCTGTTCAGCAGCGTGATCAGGTTGTGCACTGCTCAACAGAGCTTCCTTCAAGGGCAGTGCCGCACACCAGATGTCCACTACAGACCAGAGCCCCAGCCTGGCTCCTCTGGCCCCTCCCTAGCATATTCTCCTACATGCAGTAGCCAAAAATCTCTACTATGTGGCCTATCTGGCTGTACTCTGGAAGGGTCAGTTAGTTGCTGCTGCCCTGGAAGACCCACTGGCCTGCCTCCAATTTGGAACCCAGGGTGGAGGAAAGCATGTGGCCATCTGTGGCACCAGTACCAGGCCTGGGCATCTGTAAGGCTGCCCGAGACTCCAGTGCAAATATGCTTGTCTTGTGGGAAAGGCAGCTTTTTTTGTGATGGGCAGTGAGGTTGCTTAGTGGGCAGTGCCCCCAGCACCTACCTCCGGGGGCAGCTGTCTGCACGTGGATGGAGTGGTTGGGCCCTCCTGAGCACAGCTGGGCCCAGCAGCAGAGGTGGCCTCAACTACCAGAATTCTCCTACTCCTGAGTGGGGGTCCAGCAAAGGCCAGGAGCAGAGACAGCCTTAGAGCCGCTCCCTAGTCTGGAAATCTCTAGAAACCTCCTTTCCCCAGATGCTGGGGCAGTAGCTGCCCTGAAGGATGTAGGTCCCTGTCACTCCCAACCCTCCTGGCTCAGCCAGCCTCCCCGGGGCTAGCAGGGAAAGGACCTGGTTCCCTTGTCTAGATGGCAGGCCTGGAACACAAGAGCACAGGATGGTGCTTGTAGGCATGTTGCCTGTTACCATGGTAACCAACACAGGCACCAGGCTAGGTGCCTGGAAACGTCCATGGTGGTGTTGTGAGCTGGGCTGCCTGTGGGCATGTGTGCATGGCAGGGGGAGTTCCCTCCTCCACTGGCCCAGAGCCCTGGAAACAGCAAAGAAGAGCTGGGGTAACATCAGCACTGTAACCCGCCTGTCACAGTCCCATACCCTCCCTGCAGTGGGCAAGGAAAATGCCCTGAGGCCCCACCCCCTTCCCAGAGCCCTGTCAGCCCCAAACCCTAGTGGGTGCGCTCTGGTTGGCATCTCCCTACCTTGCCCTTGATTAGTCCCTACTGGGCCTCTGGTCCCTTTTGGCCTTCTGTCTCCCTCCCTGGCCCTGTGATGAGGAAGGACCAACCCTGCTGGCCAGGACACCACTGGATACCACCCCGGGCCCTGATTTCCTCCTTCCCGGAGGTCCTTCTCAGCAGCTCCCCCTCCCTGAGTCCGGCTGCGCTTGGCAGCCTCATGATTTTTTCATGGCTGAGCTCTCCGTTCCCTCCAGTTCCACTTACATGGCTGGCCATGAAGGGGCCCCTTTTCTTCTTCTGGCCTGGGTTGGTTTACTGAGGCCTGAAGGCCTGGTTTAGGGTGACAGGCTGCACTTGGTAGGGGGTGTCTGTGCTGGAAGGGAGGGTGTGCGGAGGGGCTCAGGCCCAGCCTGCCGGGGTGCCCACACCCCTTTCAGGTACAGCGCAGGGGCGCTGCTCCTTCAGCACCACACACACGCAAAGCACCCCAGGAGTACCTGCGGTCCTGGTCGTTCCAAACCTTCAGCACGAAGCTGCAGTCTAGGGGCTTTTGTTCCCTGTGAATCCCTAATGTCTCAGGAAGTGGGGGCTGTGCCTGGAAGGGTGGAGAGCACCTGCAGAGGCTCAGAGGCAGGAGCAGAGAGCAGCCACTCTGAAAACCCAGGCCCCCAGCAAGGACAAAGGTCCAAAGGGCACAGAGGGCAGGCCTGAGGACAGTCAGCAAGCCCAGGTGCTCCCTGACTGAAGCAGCAATGCTTCAACACATTCCTGGGATGGGGGTGGCATTCACCAGAACATCTTCTCATGAGCGCCTGCTGCCTGGGACCAGATCACCTCCCAGAAGACAGGTGGCTGCTCACCACTCAGCTGGGCTTCGGGTCTGCAGGAACAGTAGCCACTGCACATGGCCATGAGTCCGTAACCCCAGTCCCATCCCTGTGCATCCTTGTGTTTGCACACACAGAGGCATGCGTGTGGCAGGCACGCAACATCATATCTGTTTGCACAAGATAATATCCCCTCACCCAGCATTCCAGCTGAGCACCTACTGTGTGTCGGAAACCTCAGTGGGATTCAGAACGGAATGAACTCCATCTCTGACTTCTGAGACAGAATGGACATGAGCCATTCACTGCAAGTGGAGGGACAGTTGCTGACCCTGGTCACTGGCATAGTGTCACATGGTTCCCAAGGGGAAAGTGCCTCCCCATTCTGCTTTGGGAACTAGCACTGCTCTTCTGAAAAAGCGTTACTGCCTGTAATTAATGCTGTAAACCACAGGCGACGCAGAGGCCTTGAGAATGAAAGAGACGGAAGTTTGGGACAGCAGAATGTACCACACCTTCCCAAAGCAGAGCAGGAAACAATG